ACTTGAAATTATTCCTTTTGAAGCATATACAGAGAGTTTAAAGAAGTGGTGCTTTTCAAGGTCCTTGTGGTGCTTTTCAAGGTTTGGAGTTCATTTCATTTTGTGTTTGGTGGGAGACCACACACCCTGAGTCTGAATCACTCTCAACCGTTAGATATCCCTTCCTTCAGGAGGGTTCGATCCTCCAGACCTGTCTCTTTATTTTGTCACGTAACCCTGCCACAGATAGATGGAAAATAGACAGAATAGAGGTGATGGAATTCACTCTCCAGGAGGTGATAAACAAATGGACAGATAGTTTGATGGAGCAGATTACATTGGTCAACATCACCACACAAAGAATCAGACATTATCTTCTCTGGGTACAACCAACAAGGCAGGCAAGCTACACCAGCCCATCACACAGCGAGAGATGTATGTGTTGTCAGCAGGAAAGTATAGAAACAGAAATATAACTGTTGACAGTTGAAAGGACTATCCAATAATTTTAATAATTTGGAGTTTTGCCAATGGTACCTAACCAATCAAGTGCATTGGTGTGAAGATTGAATGGATTGTTTTTGCAGTGTGTTAAATATGTTTTTTTAAATTTACCTGTATCATTGAAATAAATAATACATAAGTTGTAAAGTTCTGTTTTTTTTAACAATAAATTAATTTTTCTAAGTAAAATTGTAATTCATATTATTCTAAATGGCATAAATGAATAAAATTATTATTCAAACATCATTCTACTGCAATAAATTCTTAGATTCATCAATGAGGATACTAAACTTTTATATACTACATTCTACTGCATCAATGTACAGAATACATAACAAATTAGAATGACAATAAAAATGCCTTACCTTTTCTTTGTTTTGCTTCTTGTAAATTGTTTGAGCAAAGAAGTTTTTAACATGATTCCATGTCTCTTTGGAAAGTGGATTATAAAATTTGAGAACGATACTTTTTCCTAGAATAATTTAAGAATTTAATTATTAAGAATAGAAGAGATCAAGATGATTCATTAACTAATTAATTAATTAAATATTAAAATAAATTTCTNGAGGATTCTAAGCTTTTATATGCCATTTTCTACTTCAACAATGTATAGAATACATAACAAATTAAAATGAAAATAAAAATGCCTTACCTTTCTTTTGTTTTGCTTATTGTTAATTTTTGGAGCACAAGAAGTTTTTAAAATGATTCCATGTCTCTTTGGGAAGTGGATTATAAAATTTCAGAATGATACTTTTTCCTAGAATAATTTAAGAATTTAATTATTAAGAATAGAAGAGATCAAGATGATCCATGTCTCTTTGGAAAGTGGATTATAAAATTTGAGAATGATACTTTTTCCTAGAATAATTTAAGAATTTAATTATTAAGAATAGAAGAGATCAAGATGATTCATTAACTAATTAATTAATTAAATATTAAAATAAATTTCTAATACAAAACATTTATTGTTTCATTCAAAAGAATATAAGACAATATGCAAGCGAATATCATTTATAATCTGATAATTTAATTCGATGCTAAGTAGAAACAACCTTAAATATTTTAAGTACATTTAATATTCTATCGACAATTATTCAATTTTGATCGCTTATAAATAAAAAACGTTATATTGCCTGCGTTATTCGGGTTTATGTAATTAAACATTTACGAAAAATCTCGAAATGGAGGGAAAAATAACTCGCAATTTCCAGAAAACTTTCTATTTCAAGATGGCGTCGGCAATACGAAATCGAACGAATTCGAATCGGTGGAACGTGCGATAAATGCGTCACACGTTACGTCATA